TTCTAATAAATGTGCTCACCTGCTACTCACGTGTGCTCAAAAAGGGTGCGTTTTTGACCCTATGTGGCAAAAAAGACTCCGGGAAAAATTGTCCAGTTGAGCTGGTAAGTTTAACTTTTCCACCATACAGTGCAGACCCTACTCTAACTAACTGTATACTTCTTTTGTCCAGGCCTAACTTTTTAGCAAGTGAGAGGGATGATTTGTCAGATGATGTCAAAACCGACCTACCTCTCTTTTTCGACTCAAAAAATTCCTAGCTTTAATCGTACGAGGTTTCCACTCATACTGGTAAATGGGAAAGTGCTAATGAGTCATTCGATGATATGCTGTTTCACTCCCCGGATTCTGAATTAAAATATTGGTGGTCCGAAACTCGTGGTGAAAAAACGACACTAAGATATCCGGTACCTAATAGTATGCTTACAATCATTCATAGGTTATGGAAGCAACCGCATACCTCTACGCTATGCACGAACGACGCTAATTTTCCAGATGGGAGTGCTCCAGTAGTGATATAGTTGAGTGCTTCAATAAGTGTCTGAAATTCGGATGCATGGACGACACAATACACTCTACTGCACAACTCACAGTCTTTCCACTTCCATTAGGGCCACTGATAATTGTCAAAGGATTGAGAAAGCGGATCACTTGAGTCTCCTCCTCAGATGATCCTACGCTCCGGATACCCCGAACCATTAGCTGAAAGCATAAATTGATAATCAGACCCGGAATGTTTAACCATTTATTCGACTAGGTTTTCTAACTTATCGCCCATCAGGAAGGCCAAAGATTGGTGTGTATTAGTCCATCAACGCATCCCTGCACACCTAACACATCTTAACGATGAAACCAAATTTGGTCTCACTAGCGACTTGTAGTGACTTCAGATGACCTAGCCAATGTGCATGAAGCCACTGGCGACCAAAGCCCATAGAGTTCAGAAACTGGGGCGAAGTCGTTTTTTGTGGCTGGGCATTCCCCTTCCCTAATTTGGACCAGGCGCTGTGGAGTCCTGGCACTTATAAGCAAGCACTGCAGACCTTGCTTAAAGCCACGAGTCAGGATTAGGTGACCATAGAAGGCCTTTCCATCACTAAAATTTCCAGGAATGCGCTCAGAGGGGTGTTGCCGCACTCCTGACTCGAGATTGCGCGCCGTCAAGGTTTCTGGCCTACAACTTATAGCGATGGGTTTGTTACATCAGCTGGTCCCGCCCACCGCGGGATGTGGTGCGTGGCTGGCCTAACGTGTGAGATCAGCTAGGTTGATTGCCGTATCAACCGATGGAACGGCTGGCATATCCGGAAAACTCGTTTGGACGTGGCTCTCCCCCGAGCAAGCCTCCTTCACTGCTAGAAGGGAAGGGGTTTCGATTTCGGTCTTGTCGACGGTTTCTTTGCGTTTTTTCTTCACTGTCGTTCCACCTCCCATCTCTACACTCAATTCAGGCGCCATATGCCCAAACACGAGCCTGACTTTTGCCTTTAAATTTAGGGTTTCTCGCAGGACAATCTTAAAAGGCACAACCCAGGCAGAGGTCGTGTGAACGCTTCCCTTCGGTCTGTAGTATGGACCCCTAGAGGACAATCACAAATGTGGCGTTCCCGTGCACGGAAACCAACCGACAAGAGCGCTTGGGCCTTGCAAAGTAAGCTGCTGAAGCTGCAGAGTTTTTTCTTCTCTTAGGCTGTTGTCTGGCGCTCTCTCATCTGTAGCGCTCTCTCGCCCATACTCTCCTCTCCGCGCTTAGTCTCTCATTCCCTTAGCACAGCCGACTTAGGAAGGTGAGTGAGCCCTCAACCTGAGCGTTTTCCGACGGATTCTTTTCCTTTTTTCTTCACTGCCGGCCCACTTGGCACCGATACATTCACATTCGTGTGCAAGAGCCACACCAGTGCGATCCTGGGGCATGCCTTTAAGAACTTAAAGTACTAACTAAGCACCCAAAAAAAAAAAAAAACACTGAAATGACTTCCCGTCTTGGTATACGCCCAAGATCACGCAAGCTGAATGCACCATCCGGTGTTTCTTTAACACATTGGCGACAATGTCGCCCGATGCCGGGCGACACCCCTTGAATTTTATTCCTTTGCGCATATTCCAAATTTTGAGCGGTGCTATATTAACCCGGAATACGTTGTCAAACTTGTAATGGCCACGTTCTTTGAACATCTTTCACAGTGAAAGTTTTAGAGAAGGGTTGCTTGGAATTGCTTCTTCAGTGATAAGGTTGTTCTTTCTTGATGTAGAAAGCTGCCCTTTTGTATGCTATTAGCTAGCTCAATGATACAACAATTGGCAAAAAGAGATTTGTGTTCAACCTCATTTGTGGATTCTACAGTGGAAAATTGGAATTTTCCGAGAGCGTTCCGAAGTTTCACCTTTGCGGGACGGGGAGATTTTTGCTTGGTTTGCAGCCATTAAGCATTTGTACGAGACAAATGATGTTTCAGCAGTTTCCGCATTGTGTTCTCATTGATTTGGTATGTACACCGTATGGAAGCGTTTCAGCATTAGCACGCAATTTTCGGAACACACCAAAAACTGCGTCCCAATGTGTTAGAACGCGAGGCATTTCGCGATAAAAGGCAAGGCCGAAGAAGGGGGACTTACCTAGTGGAAAGAAAGGCGGACTCCCTAGGCATGCAGACTGACACGAAATCTGCAACGAAGAATATGCCCCGGCGTTCTAGCACGGCCCTCTCCGCGGCGCTATAGGCGCACTATCTGCGCGGTACACCCTCTTCTTGCTGTCTGAGCCTTTAGCTTTAGCATAGAGATAGCAGAAAGAGCGTTAGCGTTGATGACGACAGCATCAATGAGAGCCGCATAAGTGCGAACATCTACGAGCAAGGAAGGAGTTCCATGTCTCGTTCGTGAGATTATTTTCCTTGTGTTTTCTTTATTTCGTAGATCACTGACTTCCACCATAAATTTCAAAATCGCTGGCGGTTTCAATACGTAAATACCTTTTCAATGCGCTGCCTTTCCATCGTAAAACACACCTTTAATGCTTGTGCGCACCATACCCCTTCCTTCCCAGGACAAATAAGGCAATGAAAGGAGTGCAATGGCTATCCGATCGCACCAACGGTCTAGGAACCATCTGCAACCTAGCTGAACAGTCAAGTGACTCGGTGGCATTTTTCGTCGCGTGAGACATTGCGGCTCAATGTCGAGCGAGCCGCGCCACTAGAAATTTTTACGCAGATTTCAAACTTCTGGCAACAGCACATTTCAAAAAGGAAGATAATAAATAATTGAAGGCAAAAAAGACAAAGAAGAAGAATGAAGAAAGAAAAATATGATATCTATAGTGGCCATGATCTGTGCATTTTACTCGGAGTGAGTGTTTTACCCAAGAACTCTTCAAGAATAATTCTCTCTAGTCAAGCTTGGCATTGTCAGATGTATGAAGCTGGCCTTTGTGTGAATTCCGCCGACGTATTGACACTTTTCAACAAGAACAATCAATAACCTGCCCTATTACGAAATTCGGAAGGGGAAATTAATACAAAGGAGTTGCCAAGAGAGGAATTGAAAGAATTCCTTCCCTGGCAAATTCTTGCATTCTTTCCCAACATGAATATGTCAGTTGTGATCACTAGGAGACAGCACACAAAGTTTCACGCATGAAGATTCGGTTTCCGAAGAGAAACAAACACAAAACTACACTCTATGGACAATCGAAGGTAATGGCGGAGCCAAAGGCGGGGCATGGAAAGAAGTTGCCTTGGGGCGGCTACGTATCAGGCGACGCAATGAAAGAATCGGGTTAAAGCGTGCGATTTCGGAGAGTAGAGACAAATCGATCGATAGAATAGGATGCAGTAGAAGTGTGAGATGTGAATGCAATAAGTCAAAAGGTCAAAAAGTTTCTAGTGACGGCACTCCGTGAACCAAGTGGAAGCGTTCCCGCCGCCAGCATTTGTGACAGATGTCCGGCGGGAATTTGAACGCGTAGCAGTCCTTCCGGTTTTCGAATTGTTTACCAAAACAAATGCAATTTTTTGTTCTTTTCGTTCTTATCGTGAACGATGGGTCTCAAGCCAGTGATTTATGGATGAGATAGAATCATGATTTTTCCGGGAAAGATTCCTTTAAGTGTGACTGTTTCAGAACTATAATATTCTTACGCCAAACGAGAAGACTTAAGCTTCGCTCGAAAGCAAAGGACTAGAACGAACTTGATCTAAGCAATGTCTTCGTTATGACCAGCCACCGTGATACGTGGATGCCGATGAAAGATCAGCACAGGGTACCATATGGCGTTGCAGAACCAACCAAGAAAGGTAATTAAAGCGAGGGATTACGATAAGTTTGGACTGGGTTCATAGTGGAAGTGGAGATGCTGAATAATGCCCCAGTGGCGAAAAAAGCAAAGAAATCCGTCAAGAAGGCGCAAAATGGGACCCTTTCTTTGCCCGTTGACCTCCGATAATGGACGAGCTAG